GAACTGATCCTGAAAACAGGTGAGTGAACACTTGATCATCACACACTACACAATTACAGTCATATATCTGCATATTATAAACTAATACAGCACTTGAATCTGAACTGAGTGCGGGGTAATATTTCACTGTGAGGCAGAAATCAGCTTCATCTCAGTTACTCTGATCAGATTATTCTCATTTCCATTCGCATACATTCATATGGAGCAATAATAGGACACTAATAATAGACTGTCAGGCTGATTATGAATGTAATTTGGGCTTGAGGACGGATCGTGTCCAGTCGCACTGGGTCTGTTCCAGTTGGGCTCAGTCTCTGTTTGCAGTCGGCAGAAAAATCACATAGTGTGTGGTGTCTAAAGATTATAATCTTAGAATTCAAAAACCAGTCATTTTCACAAATACTTTAAACATGTTTAATATTTGCGACTGACGCCAGCGATTGTATATGCGGCTATGCAGTGAAGATGTCAAACGACATTTACGGTTCATTTTGTCAAATATTTTTCTTGATCACACATTTTATTGTGATTTTATTTCTTGTCTTTATTTTATTTCATAAGTTAACATTGCAAGTTAAATGGTTTTAGACTATTCCTTTTTTTCTGCTGTCGAAGAACGTAAAAAAGCCTTAATTTTATCAGTGATTTCTCTCATTTTAAAGATATTATCAAGAATTATTTTATTGTCATCTTGCAGTCTAATAAAAGTAAAAAAAATAATAATAATAATAAAAAAAGAATTAGCCTGTAGGCCTATCTATAGATTACAGGCTAACTTTTAACTTTTTCTTCAAATTTGTTATGAAGAATATTTAAATCAACTTCATAACAAATAGACTATTCTTCATAACAAATTTCCTTCATAAGGAATATATGAACATAACAAATAGATATTCTTCAAAACACATTTTTCATAAAAAACCCACAAATATTTAACACAAATAAAATTTTATATATACAGTTTGATTATATATAACAGTTTTGTGTCAAATGGACGAGGAAATTACAGTGCCTTGAATTTCTCTGCAGCTCTTCTGTCAGCTGTCGGAGTGCAGTGTTGACAGCGCCATTCAATTGCATTAAGAGCATTAACGTCTGCTGTAGACTAATATAGCTAATAAAAAATGTAAACGCACAAATGCCATTTTTAAATGACTTTTGTTTCTGAATAAATGGAGCAGTAATGTTTTGTTTTGTTCTAACCGGAAACTGTAACGAAAAAATGAGCCTACCATTTTTATCCTTGATTTTAGACATGCATGAGATAATGTATATATTATTGCTTGACTAAATGTTTAAAACTGCTGCTAGAAATGTTATAATTAAGTAATTTAAACATAGTTATCTGAAAAGACATAATGAAATGTGTCTGCTCAAGCAATAATTCCAAAAAGAAAAAGAAACATTGGACTTAATGCAAAAAAAGAAAAAGAAAAATATTCAAGACACATTGCTGTGAAATTTATTAGCAACACCAACATAGCAGGAAATAATGTGTTTTTTTAACCTTAAACCGCATAAACACATTTCATTACACCAAATACACAAAATACTGTTCTTATTCATTAATCAGCTCTATCAGCTGATCAGCTCTAGGCATGACGAAGCGGATATCGTCCTCTTTTGGAAGGCCAAACAAAGTAGTTTCACTTTCACAGTGAAACACACAGCAACAACAATACTACAGCGAGAATCAAATTTACACCTTCTTTCTTTGCGTGAACATTTGGGCGGTGTTTAATCATACTCTTAAACTTATAACCACAAATACGTAAGTATTATGATGTATTATAACTGTTGTTATGATTATTCATGAGATGATATAACATATTATACGTTTTTTTATAATGCATTATGCATTCATTATAATGCCTTAAGTATACCCTTATAATGTATTACAAATAGGGGCTTCATAGAAAGTGTTACCTAATATCTCTTTGGATTTGAGACTTTAATCTTCGCAACTTTACAGATCTTCTTTTTGCACCAAGAGCTTGTAACACTAAGTACAGATCAGTGGAGGAGAAAACAGTTAGCAAAACATGCAGTGTATTAAAAACGAAGTCATTTTCCCTGCGATTTATTGCAATCAGAGGTGTTTAAGTTAGAATCCATTCACCGCTCAAAATGCCTGGAGTTCTTGTGTATCGCTGAAATTTGCGTGCTCACGAATCCTCTTATAACGCAGTGTAGACATTATGAAAGATTCATTGTGCTTATATTCATTGTGTTATAACAGAGCTTTGTGAGATCGCGATGAACTGAGATGTTAGCTTTTTAGTGATTATAAAGGGCTCTTAAACTTATAACCACAAATACGTAAGTATTATGATGTATTATAACTGTTGTTATGATTATTCATGAGATGATATAACATATTATACGTTTTTTTATAATGCATTATGCATTCATTATAATGCCTTAAGTATACCCTTATAATGTATTACAAATAGGGGCTTCATAGAAAGTGTTACCTAATATCTCTTTGGATTTGAGACTTTAATCTTCGCAACTTTACAGATCTTCTTTTTGCACCAAGAGCTTGTAACACTAAGTACAGATCAGTGGAGGAGAAAACAGTTAGCAAAACATGCAGTGTATTAAAAACGAAGTCATTTTCCCTGCGATTTATTGCAATCAGAGGTGTTTAAGTTAGAATCCATTCACCGCTCAAAATGCCTGGAGTTCTTGTGTATCGCTGAAATTTGCGTGCTCACGAATCCTCTTATAACGCAGTGTAGACATTATGAAAGATTCATTGTGCTTATATTCATTGTGTTATAACAGAGCTTTGTGAGATCGCGATGAACTGAGATGTTAGCTTTTTAGTGATTATAAAGGGAGCGCTCTTTGCTCGCATTCTGCCATGCCAAACCATGCACACAGCAGCTTATGCTTGCTTTTCTATTAAAAATAACAGTGGTTTTGCGGGGGCGGGGTCGGGACAGAATCCTGCTGGAGCGGGACTGAAAAATCCATCCTGAGCAGGTCTCTAGTAGTATCTGTTTGTCTATGTCCCACTCTTACACCCATACAACTTGTTCGGCAGTTCCTTCTGTTACTTGATTAGCTGCCAAAAATCATCAAAGGTGGCCATGATAGTGACTTGTGTCATCCCAGACATGGTAATGCAAGCCTACTTTTAGTAAAGAAACGTTGACCAAAGGTTGAGTTGACTGAGTCTAGTTGCATTTGAGCAGTGAACACTGTACCATAAAAAGCCAGGTTTAGCATATATAGTATTTATTGTAGTGTCTTTTCATGAAAGCAAAATATTTTGGACTACATAATTTAATAAATATTTTTATTTAATTAAAATATGACATATTACAATGTTAGAACTTATTAGACAAACAAAAAGAAGTAGTATAACCAGTATTTAACCTCAAAACAGTTAAACAACATTTACAATGTTTACAATTAAAGGAAATGCATGCAGAAAAATATCTACTTCTCCCTCCCAGAAAACAGCCTGCTGTTAAACAGATATCTACTGTTAAGTTCTTCAGGAACAATGCATTATCAAACTTATCTTTATATTGCTCTATACTAGTATGTGAGAGTGTGCTACAATGGGAAATACTATATACCATTTAATTATAATAATAAATACATTTTGTGTTTAATTAATTTGTTACAGTGTGTCTTGTTGAACTCATGTTTGGTTGATATATGTTTAAGGGATCTATAGGAAAAAGTTTAATATTTTAGACATAATAATGAGGCATGTTGCTTGGAACAGACTGGATTCAATCTTTAATCCGCCTGAAGCTGTAGTTGCTGTGGTTGCTGTAGTTGTTGTACTTGCTGTAGTTGCTGTGGTTGCTGTAGTTGTTGTACTTGCTGTAGTTGCTGTGGGAGCGACTGTTGCAGCTGAAGCAGTAAAAAAAAAAACATAAGCAAATTAGCTGGACATCCCTATAGACCCATAGACAAGTTACAGGTATAGAAGACTATAAATCTAGTGTGTGTAGTACAGCTTACCTGAACCATTGACTGAAATTGATTGAGGGATTATCTTCAATAAATTGACATCTCCTGTTCCCACTGCTGTCAAGAGGGTGTTTGAAATCTCTTGAACGGATGGGATAGTTTGGTTGAAGCTGAAAGCTAGTTGAGTTGATGTGATGATTGACCCTGGTCTAAAATATATAAATGTTGAAATTAATAAATGTTACCTTAAAAAATTCAGTTTATTACAAGTTTCTTTTTCTCTCTCTCTCTTTCACACACACACACACACACACACATGTTTACTTAGCTATCTAAATGAGGACAGCTTAACACAGCTAGTTTTTAATACTATAAACTAACTCTAACCAGGCCCGGATTAAGAATTCAGAGGCCCCTTCAAAATATGGTTAAGTAGGTACACACACACACACACACGCACACACACAAACACGTTTCCATGTTTTGGGGACATTCCATAGGCATAATGGTTTTTATACTGTACAAACTGTATTGTCTATCGCCCTACACCTAAACCTACCCCTTACCGAAAACTACTGGCAATTTTTTAATTTCATAAAACACCGTTTTGTATGTTTTTTAAGCCTTTTGTTTTACGGGGACACAGGAAGTGTCCTCATAAACCATGTTTACGTTGTAGTACCCATGTCATTATACACATTTGTGTCCTCATAAACCATATATACCAGTACACACACACACACACACACACACACACAGAGAGAGAGAGAGATAGAGAGAGAGACAGCATTCATAAAATATTCAATATTGCAATATGTTGTATTTACCTGAATCCTAGGACAATCACTCTGAGGAAGTTAGTATACTTGATTTTGTAGACAGGCTCAAGCTGGAATAAATAACAAATAATTTCAGACATCAGAGACATCATTGGAATCTAGTTTAATTGTTTGTCACATTTATGTTGTCTCTACTGTTAATTAAATACTTAAAAGTCAAGAAAATTATCAATAGTGTGTTCTAGTAAATACAATAAATGGATATTAACTCACCTCATCCCTGACAAGTTTAGACCTATTCTTAAACTCCTCACTCTTGATATCGCTGAGTGCATCTGTAAATGTCTCAAAAGAGCGAAACTCCAGTTCTGTTAGCACTTCAGGTACTATTTTTGCAGTAGTTGCTGTGGAAGTTGTAGATGTTGTAGAGGCTGTAGAAGCGTTAGACGCTGCAGACTCTGTAGAGACTGAAGATGCTGTAGAAGCTGTAGATGCTGTAGAGGCTGTAGATGCTGTAAAAGCTGTGGATACAGTAGAAGCTATAGCAGCTGTAGACACTGTAGGTTCTGTAGAAGCATTAGATGCTGTAGAAGCTGTAGACTCTGTAGAAACTGTAGATTGTGCCACTGTTGTGGTTATTACTGCACTACTGGTGGATGTACCAGTAATAGATTTTGGGACTGTGGATGAACCTGTTGGTGTTGAAGTTGCTGATGTTGTGGATGTTTCAGCTGTGCTAACAGTTGTGGTATGAAAAGCAGTTGAAGAGGGAGTAGTCGAAGAGGACGGTGTGGTTTGAGATGCTGTTGCAGTGACTGGTGCACTAGTGGTGGATGACCCAGTAAGAGTTGCTGTGACAGAGGAAGAACCTGTTGGTGTTGAAATTGCAGATGGTTCAGATGTTGCTGCTGTTGTTGTAGCTGTTGTGGAGGATTCAGTTGTTGTAACAGTAGTTTGTGGTGCTGTTGTGGTAACTCCTGCAGTAGTAGTGGATGATTCAGCAAGAGTTGTAGTGGTTGATGAGGGCACTGCTGTTGTAGCTGTTGTGGAGGATTCAGTTGTTGTAACACTAGTTTGTGGTGCTGTTGTGGTAACTCCTGCAGTAGTGGTGGATGATTCAGCAAGAGTTGTAGTGGTTGTTGAGGGAACTGCTGTTGTTGTAGCTGATGTGGAGGATTCAGCTGTTGTAGCAGTAGTTTGTGGTGCTGTTGTGGTTACTCCTGCAGTAGTGGTGGATGATTCAGCAAGAGTTGTAATGGTTGTTGAGGGCACTGCTGTTGTTGTAGCTGTTGTGGAAGATTCAGTTTTTGTAACACTGGTTTGTGGTGCTGTTGTTGTTAATCCTGCAGTAGTGGTGGATGATTCAGCAAGAGTTGTAGTGGTGGATGATTCGATGTGGAGGATTCAGCTGTTGTAACACTAGTTTGTGGTGCTGTTGGGGTAACTCCTGCAGTAGTGGTGGATGATTCGATGTGGAGGATTCAGCTGTTGTAACACTAGTTTGTGGTGCTGTTGGGGTAACTCCTGCAGTAGTGGTGGATGATTCGATGTGGAGGATTCAGCTGTTGTAACACTAGTTTGTGGTGCTGTTGGGGTAACTCCTGCAGTAGTGGTGGATGATTCGATGTGGAGGATTCAGCTGTTGTAACACTAGTTTGTGGTGCTGTTGGGGTAACTCCTGCAGTAGTGGTGGATGATTCGATGTGGAGGATTCAGCTGTTGTAACACTAGTTTGTGGTGCTGTTGGGGTAACTCCTGCAGTAGTGGTGGATGATTCGATGTGGAGGATTCAGCTGTTGTAACACTAGTTTGTGGTGCTGTTGGGGTAACTCCTGCAGTAGTGGTGGATGATTCGATGTGGAGGATTCAGCTGTTGTAACACTAGTTTGTGGTGCTGTTGGGGTAACTCCTGCAGTAGTGGTGGATGATTCGATGTGGAGGATTCAGCTGTTGTAACACTAGTTTGTGGTGCTGTTGGGGTAACTCCTGCAGTAGTGGTGGATGATTCGATGTGGAGGATTCAGCTGTTGTAACACTAGTTTGTGGTGCTGTTGGGGTAACTCCTGCAGTAGTGGTGGATGATTCGATGTGGAGGATTCAGCTGTTGTAACACTAGTTTGTGGTGCTGTTGGGGTAACTCCTGCAGTAGTGGTGGATGATTCGATGTGGAGGATTCAGCTGTTGTAACACTAGTTTGTGGTGCTGTTGGGGTAACTCCTGCAGTAGTGGTGGATGATTCGATGTGGAGGATTCAGCTGTTGTAACACTAGTTTGTGGTGCTGTTGGGGTAACTCCTGCAGTAGTGGTGGATGATTCGATGTGGAGGATTCAGCTGTTGTAACACTAGTTTGTGGTGCTGTTGGGGTAACTCCTGCAGTAGTGGTGGATGATTCGATGTGGAGGATTCAGCTGTTGTAACACTAGTTTGTGGTGCTGTTGGGGTAACTCCTGCAGTAGTGGTGGATGATTCGATGTGGAGGATTCAGCTGTTGTAACACTAGTTTGTGGTGCTGTTGGGGTAACTCCTGCAGTAGTGGTGGATGATTCGATGTGGAGGATTCAGCTGTTGTAACACTAGTTTGTGGTGCTGTTGGGGTAACTCCTGCAGTAGTGGTGGATGATTCGATGTGGAGGATTCAGCTGTTGTAACACTAGTTTGTGGTGCTGTTGGGGTAACTCCTGCAGTAGTGGTGGATGATTCGATGTGGAGGATTCAGCTGTTGTAACACTAGTTTGTGGTGCTGTTGGGGTAACTCCTGCAGTAGTGGTGGATGATTCGATGTGGAGGATTCAGCTGTTGTAACACTAGTTTGTGGTGCTGTTGGGGTAACTCCTGCAGTAGTGGTGGATGATTCGATGTGGAGGATTCAGCTGTTGTAACACTAGTTTGTGGTGCTGTTGGGGTAACTCCTGCAGTAGTGGTGGATGATTCGATGTGGAGGATTCAGCTGTTGTAACACTAGTTTGTGGTGCTGTTGGGGTAACTCCTGCAGTAGTGGTGGATGATTCGATGTGGAGGATTCAGCTGTTGTAACACTAGTTTGTGGTGCTGTTGGGGTAACTCCTGCAGTAGTGGTGGATGATTCGATGTGGAGGATTCAGCTGTTGTAACACTAGTTTGTGGTGCTGTTGGGGTAACTCCTGCAGTAGTGGTGGATGATTCGATGTGGAGGATTCAGCTGTTGTAACACTAGTTTGTGGTGCTGTTGGGGTAACTCCTGCAGTAGTGGTGGATGATTCGATGTGGAGGATTCAGCTGTTGTAACACTAGTTTGTGGTGCTGTTGGGGTAACTCCTGCAGTAGTGGTGGATGATTCGATGTGGAGGATTCAGCTGTTGTAACACTAGTTTGTGGTGCTGTTGGGGTAACTCCTGCAGTAGTGGTGGATGATTCGATGTGGAGGATTCAGCTGTTGTAACACTAGTTTGTGGTGCTGTTGGGGTAACTCCTGCAGTAGTGGTGGATGATTCGATGTGGAGGATTCAGCTGTTGTAACACTAGTTTGTGGTGCTGTTGGGGTAACTCCTGCAGTAGTGGTGGATGATTCGATGTGGAGGATTCAGCTGTTGTAACACTAGTTTGTGGTGCTGTTGGGGTAACTCCTGCAGTAGTGGTGGATGATTCGATGTGGAGGATTCAGCTGTTGTAACACTAGTTTGTGGTGCTGTTGGGGTAACTCCTGCAGTAGTGGTGGATGATTCGATGTGGAGGATTCAGCTGTTGTAACACTAGTTTGTGGTGCTGTTGGGGTAACTCCTGCAGTAGTGGTGGATGATTCGATGTGGAGGATTCAGCTGTTGTAACACTAGTTTGTGGTGCTGTTGGGGTAACTCCTGCAGTAGTGGTGGATGATTCGATGTGGAGGATTCAGCTGTTGTAACACTAGTTTGTGGTGCTGTTGGGGTAACTCCTGCAGTAGTGGTGGATGATTCGATGTGGAGGATTCAGCTGTTGTAACACTAGTTTGTGGTGCTGTTGGGGTAACTCCTGCAGTAGTGGTGGATGATTCGATGTGGAGGATTCAGCTGTTGTAACACTAGTTTGTGGTGCTGTTGGGGTAACTCCTGCAGTAGTGGTGGATGATTCGATGTGGAGGATTCAGCTGTTGTAACACTAGTTTGTGGTGCTGTTGGGGTAACTCCTGCAGTAGTGGTGGATGATTCGATGTGGAGGATTCAGCTGTTGTAACACTAGTTTGTGGTGCTGTTGGGGTAACTCCTGCAGTAGTGGTGGATGATTCAGAAAGACTTGTAGTGCTTGTTGAGGGCACTGCTGTTGTTGTAGCTGTTGTGGAGGATTCAGCTGTTGTAACACTAGTTTGTGGTGCTGTTGTGGTAACTCCTGCAGTAGTGGTGGATGATTCAGCAAGAGTTGTAGTGGTTGTTGAAGACGTCGTTGTAGCTGTGGGTGTTGCAGAGGTGTCGGTTGCTGAATCTGTTGTGGACTGAGTTGTTGAACTTTGCGAGTGGACTGTTGCTAGAGAAGACAAAAAGTTGGTGAACTGTTAAAGTTACATATTTTGAACATGTATATTTTATGTCTAAGTGAATTGTGGAATTATTGTTGTTGTTGTTCTTGTACAATTTGTTTTTACATTTGATTCACCTACCAATAAAAATGCACATTATAATAAAAGCTTTTCCCTCCATCCTGGAAAGAGTCCAGTGGTGATAATAAGAGTCTGCAAAGCAAGCAATATACACAAAGTTTAAATACACACACATATACATGCATATATATATATATACCAGATAAAAGTTTTATAATGTTGTTGATAGAAGCCACCTATCACCAAGGCTGCATTTATTTGATTAATGTAAAAAAAATACAATAAAACAGTAATTTTGTAATGCAAAGCTGAATTTTTAGCAGCCATTACTCCAATCTTCAGTGTCACATGATCCTTCAAAAGCAGAGAAGACTTCTTTCAAGAAGATGAGCAAACTGAATCATTCCAAACTTTTGACCAATATTATATAATAATGTAGTAATAAAGAAAACAAAACATTCATATATATATAAACAATCGCTGCATCCAACAGATGTTACCAGAGACACCAACATCAGATGTAGAAGAGAATAGAATAAACGTAATCTACAAACATTATTTTCATGTTTCAGCAAAGTACCATGAAAAAGCTTGCATTCTTGATTTAAGTTATCTACTCCATTATCTACTCCATCTGAAAAAACTGGACACTATACATTTTTACATCACGATTAGTCCAGTTCTAATTATCACTATAGATTTCACAAAATTGAAATCAAATTCCAACTGTTTATCAATATCCAAACTAAAATATTATTTTATTATGACTCCTTAATATTTAACACAAATGGTTCAGTAAACAATTTGATGCCCTTGATAGGAATGTGCTGTAGATATCAAGATAAATATTTACTTATTATTCTAAGTTTAGAATTATTTTAAATAATTATATTAATAATTACTTTGTGAACAGAATATAATACTATAACTGCAATTTCCTGTGGCTGCTTAAATATTCTGACTACATACATTTCATTAAAAAATAAATTTAACAGTAACAGAACACAGACTACTTCAAAAATGACTAAATATTAAAAATATTAATATAAATATTACTACATTATGTATGCAATTAAAAATTATTTCCAGCAATTAAACTACTTTATAATGTAAATATAATTAAGACAAATATATTTAGTGAAATAAAATGCCCTTACCAACCTTTGAGCAGATATATTTTACTCAACACCTTGATCGGTAATCCGCTGTTGTCTCAGTGGTCCAATAGTTATTCTATGTTCCAGTTCTTCCACTTCTCTTGAATCACCTGTGGAGCTGCCTCTTAAATACCACTTAGTGACGTCCTGACTTGTGGTTTGTTACTTCATTGATATGCACAGATAAGTATATGGAATGTTTTTTTTGTTTTGTTTTTTTGGCAGACACGGTGACGATTCTTTTCGTATATCTTTTGTATTGTGCCTAAAGTGTCTGTCGTGCGCAACAATTTATTATAGGCGGGCTTATTTATAGAAACTGGTAAGTGACTTGATAAAGCCATATAGCTGCACATTTTAATTTATAGGCGTATGTCATTCACATGCCATGATCGTTACTGTTTTAATTTCAGACATTATTTTAAATGTATCCAAAATAAATTTTTTTTGAGGGCACATAATTGTATACACAATTTGTTTTAAGAATAAATCTCTTAATTTGTAGATATTACTGCATGGATGTTTATGGAAACACTAGAGAATAGAATCGCATTAGCAGTTTAAACAAAAAACAATATCAAACATAGAGTTTCCCATGAGTTTAATAATTTGTGTGACCATAGACCGATCATCATGGAGCGCATGATCTTTTAATGAATCCTACGTCAACTGATCACAATTACCACACATGTTAGATGTCAAAAGGGACCAACACAAACGACACTAGGATTACCTATGCATTCTTCTCATACCGACACTTCGTTTCACTGGTCTTCTTGACGTTTTTGAGAACGTTTCCCCTCAGTAATGGAGCGTCACTAGCCCAATACTCAACAACTGAACTCGTAGAATAAACCTGGTTGGTTCCCTTACATAATTATTTTCCAACCGATAAGTATCGCGGGATTCATTCTAAATTCAACGGGTTTCGGGGCAAAAAAAATAATAAAATCTAATAAAAAGAAAAAAGAAAGAAAGAATGAAAAGGAAAGACTATAGGTATATTAGACCTATAATAATAATTCAGACGGACAATAGCCTGTATTTTAATCTTCTTAACAATATTTGACATAAAAGGATACGTGTTTTGTTTGGTTAGAAAAAGAAATTCACAAAAGTAAAAAAAAAACGTGAAAATCAAATCAGTGGAACTTCTGACGCTTTAATGCACAATAGTTTAATGTGTATTTTTGATGACTGATCAGTAAAATTTTCTGGTGTGCTTGTATCACGTAATTTGTTTTCGGTTGCGACCTAATGTTTGGTTTTATTTCGATAAAATAAATAGGGCTATTGAACATTTCTGGAAAAAAAATTGCTTAAAAAGTTATATTAATATTATAATTATAGCTACTTTATCGAAGAGACAATTGATGTTTTGAAAGAATCTTCTTGAAATGTGTTTGGTTATAATAGGAAAACCAATATATTATTTAGTTATTTATAACTATGATAGTAAATAAGTAGGCCTAAGTGGGATATAGCATAAGTACAGTCATTTTATTTTAAGTGCCCTCTTTGATAATCAAGATAAGTGAAATTGTTGTCATTCCTGACATTACAATCAAGTCTAAGAAATGAATCCTTGGGTGTGGTGGGTGGTAGAGGTTAACACCCAGTCAGTGTTAGGGTAGTTGTACTTGTTGGAAATCAAGTGATGTTTTAATTTATTTATAATCTCTTGATAAACAAATATAAGCAAGTAAGCATTTAAAAAGTCATGGTGCCACCTACAGTATTTACTTGGTGGTCTGAATGGATGATTTTTATGATTTTTAAAAAATTGTATTATGAAATAGGCTACATTTTCACAGAAAAAGGCTATCCAGTCTAAATATAGTGAAACTGTAGCAAAGAAATCCATGTGCAGTCATGTTGCCTTGTTGAGAGAAGAATTTAAATAATCAGTGGATTCTGGATAACAGCATGAAAAAATAGTTTTCAATTTGCTTTCATCTATGGCATGCCATCGTCCAATAGATTTGGAGCTTTTCTCTTTCTCATTCTGGATGTACGTGTTGAATTTAAATTTATTATAGTAATTCCAATGCAGAAATTTACTGAAATTTCAAATCAAATTTCCCCATCTGGCTTTCTTCCTCCTTCCTGGATTCAAAATCTCAATACTATTGGTTTGCCTCGAGATTCTTCTAATCTCAGTAAATTCAAATTAGTGCACTGACATTATTGTCACTTAATAAAAGCAATTAGAAGAATATCAAACTTGAAGATCATAATACTTGTATAAACTGCATCTCAATTTTCTTTTCGATCAAATTTCATGTTTTGCTCCACCCACCAACATACACACGTACATGGCTCGATTAAAAGAGATTCAGGGAGCAAAAGGGCTATCTACTGGCGAAACTGGCACAGTGCAGCTGGACTTGGAAGACTGAAAAAACAAATGTGGAAAATAAATCAACTATTATTGCTGCTAAGCAACGAAAGAACATTCACAATGAAACAATCTTTTTAGATTAGACTTTTCTGAAGAAAATGTGTCATTGCAAATATTCTGAGCAAATATTCTACACTCTCAGACAAAAAGGTACAAAAGCTGTCACTGGGATGGTACCTTTTTAAAAGGTAAAATTTTTCTACCTTATTTACTCCTAAAGGGTGCATATTAGTGCCTTAAAGTTACTTAAATTGTACATATTAACAGGCTACCTATAATTGGTACATGTTCTACTTTTTAAAAGGGTACTGCCCCAGTGACAGCTTGTAACCATATCATATCACCATACCATGGCTGTAATCAGCTGTGTTATTATTTATGCCATTCACTACTTGTACTTTTGATACTTCGGTACATTTAATATCAGTTACTGTTCCTTAAGTATTATTTCTCATAAACTAATTTAACTTTTTTTTTTAAATAACTTGAGCACGGTTGGGTACTTTATGTAGTAGGCCTACTGGTTAATTGGGACACTATCAAGCAAGAAGGAGAAAAACTGGGAATCAGAAGGTAACAGTTCATGGGATGGCAAAATTGCAGAGATGTGCCAGCGTGCCCCAGGTACTCTCTGTCCTCATATAACCTCCTACTCTTGGCCTTTTTTTTAAGATAAGCTTGTATTTGGCCAGCAGATGGCAGGCTTGAATTTGCTGTAAAATGCTGCTAGTGGATGAACTCCTGTCTAACTATTCTAACTACATATTCTTGGCATGTCTTATTAGTACCTGTAATACTGATATTGAAACACTTACAAGATATAGTCCACCCCAAAATATGTCATTTACTCACCCCATTACATTCCAAACCTGTATGACTTTCTTTTTTCTGTGGAACACAAAAGAATATATTTTGAAAGTTAGTTGACTTTCATTGGTTTCATTCTCAGGTTTTTAACAACATGAGGGTGAATAAATAATGACCTAATGTTCATTTTTGAGTGAACTATCTCTTTAAATTGTGTTCTGCAAGCAGGTACAAAGAAACTAAACCTTGTATTAAAAAAAATCAATTTCAGCAGTGTAATTTAATTTGAACCTTAAACCGCATTAACACATTTCATTACACCAAATACACAAAATAATGTTATTTTTAGCAGCATCATATGACCCCTTTAAGTACTTAATCACCACAATATAGTTTTTGTCAGTTCGTCATTTTAGCAGTATAACCTAAAAAAAAAAAAAGGTGAAAAACCACAGTACAGCACAAACAATCACAAAAGATTCTCACTTTGAAATCCCACTCCTCAAGAAACAGTATTCACAGAGAGATAAAGGGAAGCTAGAATTATCTGGGGCGAGCATGGTAGGTTGTGCAATGTTATTCAACAGCAAAGAATGTGACCGTGTGACATTCCTTTCATGGTGACTTTATGAAAATGTGGGCGTTTTATTTACCCTTAATCGTAACTTCTGTAATCTCTGTGGATCATTTTATAAAGGACTCTGTCAGCACCTAGAATAATACAGAAGGTGTGAAGGGGGAACAATGTCAGAGTAGTAGAATCCCTCAGACAGTGCCCAAGACTCGCCTGTTTCAACAACACTAAGAAATACTTTGTAATTTGTCTGACATAAGACCTTCTAAAGACTTAAAGATATATGTAACCCCATAATGTATACACAGACAATATTTCATTATTTTCAGAACTTTTCTGAAACACACAATAACATGACGTACATAGTAAAAAAAAAAAAAAGCAAACATGTTATGCAAGACAACTCTCTTGTCAAATGAATGAATGAGAACAAAAGACAAAGAGACTTAGAGAAAGTAAGATCCGGTCATCTCAGAATGCACACATGAAGATGTGGGTTTACTTGTGGTATAGCTATCATTGCCTTCTTTATAATAGCAAAGATGAGTAGTAAAATAGGACTGATGCAAAGCTATGCTCTCGTTTGATAAACATAAACCTACTGACAACAACTATAAAGGGTAACACTCAGTCTTTTGTTCCATCTTTACTTTTAATGACCCATTTTTGCACAGTTTTACCATAGCTGGGATTGAATTGTAAATCAGATCACAAGTATGTCACAAATTAAGTTTCGAGTTAAGTCTGTAATGCAAACAAGCAAGCAAGACTGGTCAGGTCAGTGGTTCACCTGCAAACAAATCAGTGCTGCGAAAGATAAGGTCAAGTCACAGTACGATAGCACTTACAGTAGTTAGGTTATATTAAAAGAAATGAACTATTTGATTCTGTAAGCTGTCACAAAAACACAGTATTAGATGGTTAGGCTACGCTTGATAGTACTGTACATAAACGTCACCCAGACATCTATTCAGTATAATAACCATGCATATAGACATGACATCTAGAAATGAAAAAGCTTCTAATGTAACTGACTTCTGTGTTTAAGGCAAAAATGGTGCATCATACTGCTACGGGTGCAAACAATCCCATCAAATAGTTTTCTCTGTAATTCAATCTGGCTGTATGTCTGTTTCAGACACACAAAGTAAGATGATTCCACAAAACAAAAGACAATGAACGATAAGGAGGACTGTGCTTTAATGTACTTTTGGTGATTAAAACTTTCTTACAAACATCCCCTGCACACCAGAACGGACACAGGCAATTGGATAGAGAAAAGAGGTAATGTGCTGTAATTATATCACCTGACAAAGGTCCAGAGATGTTCCTTTTTCATGGCATGAGAAGGAAATATTTCCCCCACTGCATGTAATTTGTCAATCTGTAATCATACAGTACATGAAAAAAAGTCATACACTTTCAGCAAAAAAGCTGACTTTAAAATACCATTTGCAGTATACATAAGGCATTGTACAGTTTTTTAGGGACATCTGACAAATTATTATGACATTAGATTGCAGTAGTTAATTTTGTGAGTGTACAACACACTTGTTTTGTGACTGGCACAACAAAAATGTTTTAATGCTTTGCATTGTTTGCAATGGTACATACCTGAAGTGGATGATGAAAACCTCAGCAAATGCACTGTTTGCAGAGCAGTTTGTTAAGTGGTTATTATAGTTGTTTTTGTTTAAAGACTTTCATTGTTTTCCATAACCATAACCCACTGGATATATTTGGATATTTTTTTCAAAAATATAAATCTATATACAGTAACTGCTAGTGCAACGGAGGCCAGCTGGAGTGCAGGTAAACCTCACTCCCCTGTACACTAGTAAGGTGGATTAATACAGTAGCTATTATTATGTAAAGTAAGGTATGTAATAATACGTAGGCCACCCAGCTGTCAGATGTGCCATCAGCTGCACTATTTCCATTTCAGTAAAAAAAAAAAAAGCTTTGTTTAGTAAAACTCATTGATACCAAATGTGTCTTCATTACTTGTCATGTTGCTATAAAGAAAGAACAAAATAGGCCTCATTAATGCATACAATCTAATAGGCCTCATTAATCATATTATCCTGCATTTATGATTATTTTTTAAATTGCCAGTTTTGACAAATGAGCTATAAAGAGTTTGCAATGGAAGAATTGTGAAGGTTAAAGTTGCATTAAGACTTCATTTAATTAAATTAATATAAAACCCTTGTACATTTTGAAATAAATGTAAATACTTCAAACAATCATATAATATTGGAGCATATGAACTTAATAAATATGCTTATTTGAATATAATACGATATAATATGATCTTGCAATGTTAACACATACTAGAAAAAAGAGAACTACAGTATAAATAGTCTTTAACCTGCAGACAGGTGAACAAAAGCATTACATTTAAAATACTGATGAAATTTTCCTTTTTTGATTGATTTCTACAACCTGCTGATTGATATATAATTTTTTTTTTTTTTTCATTCTTTGTGTTTATATTGCCATTGCCATTATTTTGAGAGTGTGCTACAATACTAAATAACACATAATACACATACTAATACACATACAAAAATATTATAATTTGCAAGTATAATTCGTGCCTTGCACATGCCTTGCATTTCTCGCAACTTGCATTCATTGTTAAGGGATCTATAGGAAAAGCTGTAATATTTTTGCCATAATAATAAGCCATGTTGCTTGGAGCAGGCTGGATTCAATCTTCAGTCCACTTGAAGCTGTAGTTGCAGCTGCAGTTTTAGTTGTAGTTGTAGTTGCAGCTACAGTCGTAGCTATAACTGAGAGAAAAAGATGAACCATTTAAATCAAAATATCTTAGGGCCTCTTTTTTGTGTCTATTTGTTTCATTCAGTCCAAATGTACTGTATATTTTGTGTGTTATTCTTATATACATATAATCAACTAGTGACTAGTGCTATAGAAGGTTAGAAATTCCACAATATCTACTGAGCAAAAGTGCTACGAGCAGCTGTTGTAAGACTTTCAGAACATGTTGCAAGATATGATTTGAAATGCAATCAAACTTACCTGAACCATTGACTGAAACTGTTGTAGGGATTATTTTCAGTGGATCGACATCTCCTGTTTCCACTGCTGTCAAGAGAGAGTCCGCAATCTCTTGAACGGTTGGAACAGCTTGTGTGGAGTTAAAAACTAGTTGTGTATCCGTGATGATTGACCCAGGACTGGAAAAAATCGAAGCATGTCAAATAAGATTTCTTAATATGAGCATATCACTATTATTTATATATATATATATATATATA